GTGAATAACCCCCAGGGATTGTTTTCTTTGTCTGCCTTGATATTCCTGGTTAGAACCTTTGGGTCCACTTCTAACCTTGCTTGTTCTCTTTTCCCTGTGATTTACTGGAGTAGGGAACCTCCAGTGAAAACACCCTCCCCACACTGATAAGGAGAGGCCACCCCGAGTCTTAGAGAAGTCCCTGGGACCCTGAGAGAAGGGACCTGTCCAGAGTCACCGGGCTCGCTCTCTGCTCAGTGCCTGGTGTTCACAGTGGGAGCCGAGTTATGGTGGTGGTGACTGGGGAGGGATGGAGGGGGCTGGGAGCCTTCAAAGTCACTGGGAAGCCTTGTCTCAGTCTCAGAAGAAGCGGGGCCTTTCTCTTCTGCCTTGCGGAAGGGTGGGGATGGAGACCCCAAGCAAGCCGGTAAGTCTGGAGCACCTACTCGGTGCCAGAGCCCAGTGTCTGTGACTGCGAGAGGCTGGGAAGGCCCATCTGGTCCCTCTCTTTGGAGGCCTCACCCACCTCACGGGCAGGAAACAGTTGGAGACTCAGCGAACTGCTAGCCAGCGTGGTGCCAGCTCGAAGCCGGTGGGGCAGCCAAAAGGGCAGCAGTGCTCTGAGGAGCGAGGCTTCGTGAAGCCAGGAGGACGACCGTGGACTGGAGACGAGAGGGACAGCGATGGGTGGAAAGGCGATGTCCGTGAGGATTTGAGCATCCTGAAAACTAAAACGAGGGGGGTCCAAGTGACACAGGAAATGTCCCCTGAAGATGACTGTTTTCTGGCCCCCCACCCCCAGCTCTTGGATGCCCTCCCCCATTCCCCTGCGTGTTTCCAGGCTCTTGGCATTCTTGTTTCCCACCCTTCCCCACAGTCTTTCTCCCATCTGGACTCCCCTTGAGGCACCTCCGCCTCACTAGAGTCTGGAGAGTGGCCATGCTGTAAGCGGGGGTAGACATTTGGCCATTTGTGAAAAGTAACCAAGAACAAAAAAAGTGCAGTGTTTATGGGCCCGAGCATCACTTTGTGCCATTTTCCTCTCCAGAGAGAGCACACATTCCCTGCATTTCAGGCTGGACAGGAATGCATGTGTGTGGTTAGTAAGGAAGGAAAATCTCTAGTCACATCTACACTGGCAAAGCAAAACTGAGGAAATTCCCCCGGGCTAGAGGAGGGGAGGCCCAGTGATCCCGATCCCTTGTTCCTGTCCCCTAGATCCACCATGTCATCAGTAACTCTGCTCATCCTCCTGGGTTTGGCCTGAGAGCTACACCGTGTGCATCGAGTGGAGGAGAGGAGAGGAAAGGAAAGTGGCAGCCTCTCGGGATCCTGCAGGCACCCTCATGGCTACTGCAAGAAGAGTGAGACAGGGATCTCATGTCACCACGCCAGCCGTGTCATCCATCGCCCTGAGGACGGGTGTCACTTCTCCAAGACTGTCCCCGCCCAGGCTCCGACTGTGCTTGCAGTCCCAGGGAAGTTTGGAGAAACGTCTGGAGAGGCTAGATTTGAACCCCTCTCTTCCCATGACAGCGTGCTGTTTGCAGGTCACCCTTTTGTCTGCCATGTTCTCGCTTCTATTTTTTCATGACAAGTTTGGGCGGTTGTAGAATCTGTCCCTAGTTTTCTCATTTCATAGAAGGACTTCACCCTGTGGGTGGCAGAATGGAGAGTGGATTGGCCTGAGAACTGAGGTTTAGGTGTGTGATCAGCTCTGACGTAGGTCCCTGCCCCTTATCTGGATAAAGCCAGGGCTCGCAGGACCACGTTTTTATATTTGTGTGTCCAGAATCGACCACAGCACCTGGCTTGTAGTAGGTGCTTAGTAAATGCTTGTTAATATCCCTGTGACTCCATCTGTATCTGTACATGAATTGACGAAACCTTCTACCTCTGTATGTGTGTATGTATACATATATATGTGTAAGATATCAACAAGCGTTTATTGTTTATATATAAAATCAACTTCACCCATATATGCGTATATGTGTATGTACACACACACACACACACACACACACACACAAGCATTTATTAAGCACTTACTATGAGCCAGGTACTGTGTTAGGCTCTGGGGATGCATAGTGTTTTTGGACCTGTGATTTCATCAGCAGAAGCGGGTTTCCACGAGGAAACACGTGGCCCGTGGACCATAGTGCGCCTGAGTGTTGGCCCAAACCAGATTAAGATATAATTAGGGAATATTTAACAAAATAAATAAAAATGCAATAAAACAGATAACATTACACTTTACAACTAAGGCAGGGTGGCCCCTTGTGCCGAGGGCAGAGGGCCATCCCCCAGGGTCACACGACCCCTGTTTATCCACAGCCTCCTCTCCCTCCACCACTCCCTGGCTTCATTTGTCCCTCTACCTCTCAAGACTTTCTCCAGGAATGATTCCTGTTCTGACTTTCCTCCTTTAGCCCTCCAAAGCCATGGCTTGTCATTTCAGCTCTGCGCTGTCCTACCCCCTTACCCCTCTGGGCTGTTGCTGCTCTTCTCTTGCCAACACTTAGCCCTGGACTACTCCCCTCACTTGTCTCATCCACTCCCTGTTTCTACTCACAAGCTGCAGATTGAAGAAGTCACAACTGTGCTGACTGGGCCCATGACATACTGATGTCGTCCACAATGTCATCTGTGCTGTGATTCGTTATCACCCATGCAGAAACTATTTCAAACCCTCTTTCTTGCTCAACATCTCTTTCTTCCTCAAAATCCCTTAACACCATCACCCACTCTCTTCTCTTTTTCCTTAGTTGCTGACAACAAGGTGGTCCTTCTCCTTGCCAAGACTAACCCCTTTACCAGATTGCATCCTCAGTAACACCCTCTCCCCACTCTTCAGCCTCTCTCTCACTGGTCCTTCCTTACTGCCTTCAAACATAGCGAGGTCACGCCATCCTTACAAGCCTTCACTAGATGCTATCATCCCCTCAAATGATTCTCCTCTTCCTCCCTTTCTTAGCCAATCTTCTTGGAAAGCTGTCAGCACTCACCACTTTCACCTCTCATTCCTTGGTCCTTTGCAGTGTGACTTCCAACTTCATCATTCAGCTTAATCTGCTGACTCCACTATTACTGATGTATTCTGAATTGTCAAATATGGTGGTCTTTTCTTGGTCCTCGACCTCCCTGCCACATTTGACACCGTCAGTGACTATCCTCCTAGATGCTCTTTCCTCCCTGGGTTTCATGGCTCTACCTTCTCCTCTCCTCTTACTTGCCTGACTGTTCCCTATCCTGGTCCTTTGCTTGTTTCTCACCCATGTTTCCTCCAGACTGTGGTCATTCTCGAGGGTTCCTCCTGGGTGCTTTTCTCTTCTCCTACGCTCTCTCTTGGTAACCTCATCAGCTTTCATGGGCTTAACTATCATCTCTGATGATGACACCCAGATCTGTCTCTCCAGTCCTGGTCTCTCCCTAAGCTTCCACATCACCAACTGGCTACTGGAGATTTCAGAGATGTCCTGGATTATTTCCAAGTCAGCATGTCCAAAACAGAACTCTATCTGTTCCCTAAACCCTCCTCTGTTCCAAATGTTCCTCTTTTTATTGAAGGCACCACCATCCTTCTGGTCTTCATGTCCTTGCCTCCCTCACCCATAAATCCAGTTGCTTGGTGGATCTCGCTGTTTCTACTTTGACAGAACCTCACTCACCTGACCCCTTCTGTCTCCTCCCACAGCCACCATCTTAGTTCAGACCCCCACCAACTCCCTCACAGATTATTGCATCCACCTCTTCTTGGCCTCCCTGCCCAGCCTCCCCCCCATTTTACATTCTTCTGCCAAAGTGATGCTCCTTAAGTGCAGACCTGACCAGATGGTTCCCCACCTCCAGTGATTTCCTCCTGTTGCTGCTAGGACCAAATATAAATTCCCCAGCGTAACTTTTGAAGCCCTCCGTAACCTGGCCCAACATTCCTTTCCAGTCTCTTTGGGTATGACTTGCTCTCAACACTGATGGAGCCAGACTGGTCTTCCCTAAGTTCCTGACACACAGCATGCCACCTCTCATCTCTGGGTGCTCACCAGAACTACAGAGTCCCTGTCTTCCATTAATGTACAGCTCAGATACCATCTTTTGTACAAGCCTCTCTAGATCTCCCCACCCCAGACCACCTTATATTTAACGACTTTGTACATCTGTGGGTTTTTTGCTTCGGTCTCTTTTCAGTCATGTCCACCAATACTTAGGGACCCCGTCTGAGGTTTTCTTGAAAGAGATACTGGAGTGGTTTGCCGTTTCCTTCTCTAGCTCATTTTACAGATAAGGAAACTGAGGCACATAGGGTTACATGACTTGCCCAGGGTCACACAGCTAGTCAGCATCTGTGTGTCTACTTCATATTTATTCTGCATGTGTTTTTGTGGGTGCTTTTCCCCCTATTAGAATGTAAGCTCCTCATGGCTGGGATTGGTTTATTTTATATTTATCCTTAGCACCTGGCCCAGTGTACAGGATGGGGTGGACACATGATGAATACTCAGCTCTGCTGTCTGTCTGCTCCATCACACTGTTCCTGTCTCTGTTACTGCCATTTCTGTCTGTGTAGATGTGTGTGAGTGTGTGTGCACATAAATACGTACATGTGGTAGGAAGCTCGTGGTCTCAACTTGTCAGTCCCTGTATCTTGGACAAGCCCTGTCAAGCTGTTGGTTCCCTGACCTAAAACCCACCTTGTTAATGCTGAGCTGCTTCTGGCCGGAGGCCTGTGTGGAGGCCGGCCGTAAGGTCCTGCGGCGAGCCCAGAAGGGCGTGGCACCGTGGCAGCAGAGAACTTGTGTCCTGTAGGCTCCTGCCCGCGTGACTCCAGGGCTCATCCTCGTCCCCTTCGTGTAACCTTAGCATCAGCTGCCTGTCTCCTTGGCGCCGTGGAGGAGATGCTGATGTGGGCAAGGCCATCATGAGGACGCTTGGTCTCTTCCCAGTCTCGGCCCCTGTGCTCCTCAGTCAGTGAGTCGCTGCTCTGTCTTTGGCTTACTCTTTGTCTGCCTCTGTCTCCCTCTCAGGTTGGCTGTTATCTGAAGACTCCCAGGTATCCCATCTGGGTTGTGTGCAGTGAAAGCCACTTCAGCGTCCTCTTCAGCCTTCAGCGAGATCTCCTCAGTGACTGGAAAGTGGAGAGAATATTTGACCTCTATTACTACGACGGGCTGGCTAACCAGCAGGGGGAGATTCGGCTGACGATAGGTATGCGTCCCACCCTTCCTCCCTGGCCCCCCTGGATGTCCCCTTCTGTGCTTGGTATTACGCACAGGACAGGAGAATGTGTTTGCTTTCTCCCGAAATAAGATGGACACATGGGTAAGTTTGGATACCAGCACAAGAGGATAAGAGCTCTGACCAGTGCTCTAGGTGCCGAGGGCAGGGTTTCTGAAGGAGCTGGGCCGTGAGAGGCTCAGGAGTGGGGTGCAGGCCAGGAGGAGGCCAGGTGTCTTCAGGGCTTGAGAGAAGACTGGTGTGGCTGACCAGAGGCTCATGTGGAGGCTGGATAGAGGCCACAGGAATGCTTGGGGCTGTGTTGTCTTGTTATATCAGATGGCTCCAAGGTTGACTTTTTAAACCCGCTAAGCTCAGCAGCGTTAGCACCTACTCAACAGAAGACAGTTTCCACCTGCCCTCAGGAGCTTGTACACCATCGTCCCACTCTGTGCCATCCGGAGATGCTTGTAGAGGCTGGTGAGTTCCCCTTTACTGGGGGCCTCCAGGCAGAGGCTGGCCCACCCTGGTCAGTTGCTAGAGGGAGGATTCTTATTTGGTTGGGTGTAGATGGAAGCACCGTCTGGAGTCCTTCCCCACTCTTTCTGAGGAGAAGTGAGCTCTCCTTCCTTATCTATTCTCCTAGTAGCCAGTGATACGCATGTGTGTGAGAATGCCAGGTTGGTGATGAGATGGGGACGAGACATGGGGGGGTCACAGTCACAGCCTGAGGCCAGCAGTGTGGGGTGACTCTGGCAGCCTGTGGTCACGTGAAAGAGGGAAGCAAACTGGATCCCGCATAGTCCCCCTCAGGCATTCTCATAGACTGAGTCAGGTGCCATCTATTATCCAGCCCAGGTTCAGAAGAGGCTCACAGAGCCCAGCCCCCCTCCCTCACGCTTCTTCCTTGTTTAGGTCAAGCAGCAGTGCCTGCCTCAACTCATTCTGTCCTTCCTCCATCACCGGGGATGGAGAGGGTCTCCAGTGGGCAAGGCCTGGGCTTGAGCGCCAGTCTGTCCCAGCACAAGAAGGACTTTGCCTTTCCCAGGTTACCTGGGAGAACACAGTCCAGGAGAATGTTAGAGGCGATGAAGTGTGGCCATGAGACTTGGCTCCGGCCTGGATGGCACTGGTCTAACCTCTGTCTAGCCTTGGCATGGCGGGTCAGCGCAGGGATCCTGCATTCTCCTGGGGAAACTGCACCTGCCTTCAGGGGCTAGGCAGTGGGACTGACCCCTGGTGAGCCTCTCCGGGAGACAGGCCGCAGAGTGAGAGGCTGAGGATGCCCAGCCAGGGCAAAGAAAAAGAGGCATGAGGTCATCCTCCAAGGGAGACCAGCAGGGTAGAGTGTGGGAGGGAGTCCTGGAAAAGTGGGTTTGCTGGGTCACCCAGAGCACTCTGTGCTTGAGCCTAGAGGCCATAAGAGCCATGGGAGCTTTTTCAGCAGGGGAGTAACGTGGCAGCTTTGTGGGGCATGTGTGGGGGAGGGGAAGGGGGCAGACATGGATGGGGACCAGCCAGGAAGCTCCCTGGTGGCTCAGCTGAGAGGTCCTTGGCTGGTAGGAGCACCTCGAACCCGTGGGTGGGTTCCTGGGGATCAGGGAGAGGCAAGAGCTGGGTGTTGTTGGAGGCCAACACCATCTCCTCCCTTCCAGATACAACCCAGCCTGTGCCCAGAGACAGAGAGAAGGACCTCGTTCCCCCCCTCGAACACTGCATCCGCACCAAGTAAGTGGGCTCCTCCGGAATCCAAGGGCTCCCCGGGGGAGCGGCCTCAGATCCCCCGCCCCTCCCTCCCTCGTCTCACTCCCTTCTCATGGCACCTGGGCGGCTGTCCCTGTCCTTTGGATGAGAGAGTGGAGAGGTGCCCCAGCCTGCAGCTCCAGAGCCGGCCAGGGGCAGACCCCAGTGGGAGACCCAGGCCTTTGCTCAGATTTCCCGGCCAGGAAAGCTGAAATGGAGCCGAGCACGCGGATGTGCGCTGAGGCTCTCTACCTCCCTCTTCCTCCGTGGGTGGAACTTGCTGGTTATTGTTACTGTTTGTACCCCAGGGCAGTTGTGAGGAAATGCTTGTTAGATGTAAAATGCTAAAGAAATGTGAGTTATTTTTGCATATCAACCTGAAGTGATAGGAATCTGGAAAAATCCATTTCTCAGGAGCCTTGGAGGGGAGTGGGCAGTGGGGAAAGGGTGTTCACTGGTCTCAGAACTTGGCACTTCTTTGATGTCAGCAAAGAAGCCAAAAGCCAGAGGCGTCTCATAGCCAGGAAATAGGATGTTACAGGGGAGCCCTAGAAGGAGAGGAGAAGGGCCCTTAGGGGTCAGCTGGTGCAGCTCCGTCCTTCTGCAGGGAAGAAGGAATTTGCCTCTCAGAGCCAGGACTGGAATCCACCTCCTCTGCCTCCTGGTGCATGGAGCTGTGGAGAGGGTGGCGCCTGCCCGCCCACCCACCTCCATGCACCCAGCAGCTCTGGTTCCTAGCAGGCAGGGGGAAGGTCACGAATCTGAAAGCTGGGCTACCCAGGCCCATCCATGAGGGTTACAGTCACCTTGGGCAGCCTGCCCTGCTCTCTTAGGTTCTTGGGTGCTCTGTCTCTCCTTTTGACTCTCCACTGAGGCTTGGACTTCTTGGGCTGGGGCAACATGGGCCCCTTCAGAGAGGGGAGGAGCAAGGGGACCTCTCGTGGCATCTCCCCTTCCTTAGTCTTCCTTGCAGCAGGGAGAACGAGGCATCCTTGTGGGATGGAGTGATGAGGATAAGGCAGCCTCAGCACTCCGGGCCGGGCCAGCGTCCACCCCAGACAACAGCTCGCCACCTTCTGGCAGTGTGTTTTCTTCTACCAGACAGCCAGAGGACACACCGTCTGAAGGCAAAAGACATTGTAACCCATGGAGGCAAATCAGTGACCAACAGAGATGCCCCAGGCCTGCGTGAGATCACCACACGCTGGTGGGGGAGGGCACCTTCAGGGACACGTGTGACAGAGCGAGAGCACACAGCACAGCCAAGGAGCCCAGGGGTGGCCGGGGCAGCTCGGACCTCTGCCCTCTGTTTTTGGCCGCATTGTCTCTGCATGAACTACAAAGCCTCTCCCTGAGAGTGGCCCTGTATTATTGTGAGGTGAGCCAGAAAGTCAGCAGAGCGAGCAGGAGTGAGCAGGAGCTCCCGGTGCCTCCAGAGCCTCACACAGAGTTGACTTTACTGGTACTGCTTCAAGATCCGGGGCTCAGAAAACTACCTAACTTGGGCTTAGGAAATCTTTTTTTTTCACTCTTATTAAATCCCTGAGTATTAATTTACATCCCCATACCCATTGGGTGGACCCTTCATAAAAAAAAAAAGCCAGGAAGTTTGTACGTGCTAGGGTTGCAGGACTCTCCGTACTCCCCAGCTCCTCCCTTAAAGTTTTATTATTCTGCCCACAGTAACTTCCAGGCTCCAGCACAGACCTCGCTGTTTTCACTTATCTCCCTCCCTGTAAAGAATCTGCAGTCCCTGCACTTTACGTGGGGTCCACCGGTGTACTTGTAGACATGTAACGTAGTCACATGAGGGTATCCCAGCTACACTTTTGGGTACAGTCACATGTGTTCTCCTTTGAGTCTTGGGACAGCCCTGGGGTGGGGGTGGGGCTGGGGCGGGAGACAGTTAATTGGGGCCTATAAGTAAAGGCCAGGTTTGCGTGTGCAAATGGAGAGGCCAAGGGCCTCAGAAATGGGTGAAAATCATGTATTTGGGTCTAGAGGAAGGAGTGAGCAGGGAGTGTCTGGTGCCCTGTGAAGACACCTGAAAGAGAGGCTGAACAGGGAAGACCTGTTGGGAGGAGAAGAAAGGAGGAAGATGTAATAGTCCCATTTTACAGAGAGGAAACTGAGGCTCACAGAGGGTAAGACCCTGCAGCTTAAACGTTTGAGAGGCCAGACTTGAACCTTGGTCTGTCCGACTCCGAGTCCAACGCTACCCGCTAGTGTCCGCTGGAGCTCTTTGGAGGTCATCTAACCAGAAGTGACAAACTGTTGTAAGCAACCAGAGGAAACCCAGGTAAGTGGACATTGACAAGTAGGAACCCTCAGAAAGAACGAGCTCATCCACCCCCGCCTTGTTGTCTGTCATTTGGATGGAGAGCCCGCCACCTTTTCCCGCTCCTTCTCATGTCATCGACCATTTTTCTGGAGGTGCCGTCCTCCATTGCTTGCTGCACCACCATGGCCTTCACACGTGGGTGTTGCCTCCATTGTGGATTGTTGACACTTTTGGCCAAGACCCAGAGGCAGGTTCTGCAGAGTCGCCTTCCTCTGTCTACGGATGGAGACCAGCCCTGCCTTTATCACAGGAGACCTCTCTGCCCACATACCCTGGGGACCAGTCTGGTGAAGAGTCTCAAGCTGGGTCAGAAGGGGCTCCATTGAAGTAACATGGGGAAGAGAAGGCTTAGCTGCCGTGTGTGGGGCCTGCCACAGAAAGGGTAGAGCTCAAGGCCCTGACTCGGCCTCAGCCCTCCCATGTTCCCACTGCCCAGGGATGGACCCAGTGCTCCTCCTTGTAGACATGCCTTACTCTCAGCCCATGGGACTTGCTTCCTCACCTTCCTGCCCACTTGGTGCTCTTCTTGCGTGGTGCCAGGACAAGACAGCCTGTTGGTGAATACCTGTCTTCAAATACCTGTAGAGAAGATAGAGCGGGCCTGTTCGGCATCCCTTCAGAGACCAGTGTGGGTGGAGATGAGTGAGAGACGGGTCTCTCAGCTCATTGTGATGTGGACCTTTCTCAGACTGCGAGTGGCCGGCAATGGGAAGGACCTGCCTGCCACTGGGAGGGATCAAGGAGAAGTTAGACCCACCCGCCAGGAATGAGGGCAAGGAGGTTCCTGTGGTATAAGAAAGAGCAACCTCAGAGGTTCTGCCTGGCTGCAGAATTGAGTCTGGGCCTCCCTGTTTTTGGATAATAAAAGTTCAAGACATCCCACTTTCAGCAGAGACTGAGCAGTGCTGGTGTGCCAGACCTCTGCTCAGAGTAATGCAGAAGCCCCTCATGGCAATCTAGGCTCAAGTGTAGGGGGACGTCTTGGGGGCTGGAAGGAAGCCAGGCTGCCCCAGTGGAGCCTCCAGCCAGAGTCAGCCTTAACCCTAGGAAAGCCTGGAAGATGGATCTCACCCGCCTGTTTTGATGCCAGAAATTTTACTATCTTCTCAGTGATAAGACACTATTCCCTCCTCAAATGCAAATGCCCCAAAGATAAACCATTACAAAAGCATTTAGAAAACATCCCTTAAGTCCTAGGCACTGCACATACAGAGGCCCCACCCTCAGGGAGCTCAGTTGTAATGGGGAGGGATGGTAAAGTGTCTTTATCAGTCCTTAATGACAAATCATTAATATGGAGTTTGATCTGAAATGATCTGAAACGCGGCTGTGGTGGAGGGGATGGTGAGAGCGCAGCCACACGCTGGATGAGGAGACTGACCCAGAGCAGCTCCACGTGGGTAACAAGCCAGGGGTCAGCAGGCCCACAAGATGGTGGGAGAAGGAAGGATACAAAAGAGCTGGGATCATGATCGCTGCCAACCTCCAGCAGCCAGACAGTGCCCACAGGGCAGAGTGGCCACCTGGCCTGCGATGGGGCAGCAAGAGAGCTAAGAAAAATTTATTTATTTGCAGTCTTGAAAAAGGAAGAGGAAATAGGAGGAGACACTGGTTTTCTTGGGAGCGTTTCCAGTCACAAACACAAAGCATTCCTACAGGGTCACATGCTGTCCCATCTGTCATCAGGCAGATTAAAGGAACATCCTCATTGCTCTCTTTTCATGTATAAAGAAACATTCATTCAGTGTGTTGAAAGAAATGCAGCCATTTGGAAGGGGAGCCGAAACAGGCCTCTGGACATGAAGGCCAGAGGCCACTCTCAGTTCACAGGAGTGGGCCGTGGCAGTCCCTGTATGGGACAAGCACTCCCCTCCATAGCTGCACCTCCCTGGCTAACACTCCCATGATCCTCTAGGTGTGGGAGAGCAGCTTCAAAATGCAGAGCCAGTGGGGGAGAAGGGCCTTGGTTCTGCTCTTCCTACGGGGCTCACGATCCAAGTGAGGGCCACCAGGCCCCAGGATGACCAGTAGCCAGTCAGTAAACCATTGAGTGCCTGTGATGGGCCGGGAACTTTGCTAAGCCCTGCAGATACAAAGAAAGACAAAAGCCAGCCCTTGGCCTCAGGGAACTCACAGTTTAATGGAGAAAGCAGGCAAATAAGCCATGCACAGACAAACCACAAGGAAAGGCGTCCTGGACAAGGTGGGATTTCATCTGGGAACTGAAAGCCGCCAGCACGGGGAGCAAGCGTTGCCCGCCCGCCCCCCCCCCCCCCCCCCGCCTCCAGCCAGATCACTGCCAAGAGAGCAGAGGGGCAATCTGACAGCGGATTGGTAGGCATTAGGGTTTGCCGTGACCCGGGGGCCTCCGTACCTGGTGGACAGCCCTGGCTGATGCTGCGGACCATGACCACTGGAGACCCCTGGGGTTGAGTTCAGCGAACACACATTAGGTGCTTGCAGTGTGCAAGGCACTGAGGATGCAGGTGCTGTTTTCTGGGTACAGAAGAGAGTCTTGGAAGAATCTGTGCTCCCTTTCTCCTCACCCTCACCCCTTGCATTACCTGAGTCACAGAGCAGCCCAGGGGTGGACACAGGGCCCACTTTCCCAGGTGGGAAGGTACGGGCCGTCACGGATGCATGGATCAGAGCTGTTCTCTGCCAAGACAAGGAGAACTTTCCTTGGAATTACCTCAGAATCATTTACCGGGGTATCCTGGGGTCCTGGAACCTCACTTGGAAGGGACCCTACATGTCATCTGGCCCAGCCCAAAGGTGAATGTGAACTTCCTCAGACCCCTGAGACCTGGCCAGTAGCATGGACAGCGTGAGGAGCAGGGAAAGGGACCCAGCCCTTGGAGGGCAGGACCATGGATGAGGGAGGTGGAACATCCCTGGGAGGGCTTCATCCCTGCCCTGTCCGGTGTGCTTCTGGTCCCCAGCTTACTCCTCTTCACTGTCCTGCCTGCCCTCTGGGGAGGGGTGCACTCAGTGTGCCTGAGAGAGAGGGGCTGGGGCACCACCTCCCCCTCTGTGCCCTCCCATCAATGAAGCATTGATTCAGTGCCTGCTTTGTGCCTGGCACTGGGCTAAAAAATGTCAATAAGGCAGAAATTCGGACCCTGCCTTCGAAAAGCTTACAGTTGAATAGGGAAGACATAAAATAGGATGCGGCAGAGGAGAGAGCGTGTTCCAGGCAGGAGAGACTGCCAGGGCAAAGGTGTGGAGGTGGGAGGTTGGGCATTGGGTTTGAAAAATTGCAGATAGGCCGGGGAGTGTGTGAAGACCGTGGACTTTACAGATCAAGAAAGGGAGGCACAGAAAGGTGACTTAGCCAGGGTCACACAGCATCAAAAGTGGGATTTCAGCTCAAGTTTTCCAAGGCCCATCCACTATACCATCGCCTTATTCAGTCCTCTCCTCTGGTGCATCAGGAGACAGGCCCAAGGTGATGCTCAGAACCGGGAGGCTCTGAGGCTAGGTTAGTGGAGAGCATGCCCTTCAGGGCTCACTTCTAGGTGCCCTTCCTCTAGGAAGCCTTCCCTGATCTCCCCCCTCCCACCACCATTTTCAGGCCGAAGAACCAAGGGCCCCAGCTACTGTCAGTCAGTCAACAAGCAGTTTTAAAGTGCCAGGCACTGAGCTAAGCTGGTGGCATGCAAAGAAGGCCCAAAACCACACATGCCCTGGAGAAGCTTGTGGGCCAGTAGGGGAGAGGGCACGCCGGCACCCGTGTACGGGCAGGTTAGAGACAGAGCAAACTGGAAGGGCCTGGAAGGAGGGGGGCCGGGTCGCCTCCGGAAGCGGTCAGCGCCCCCTCAGCTTTTCTCAGGGTCCCATGTGCTCTTTGGGAGCACAGAGTCAGAAAACAGTGCTTTCTTTTCCATCCCCATCAGATAAAATACCATTGTAATGGAAAGCATATCCAGCCTCAAAGGGCCTGCATTACAAAGGACACGCCTTTTGTTCTGCCCCTTGATTCACAAATAGCTCAAAGGAAAAGTTGGCCATCGGACCTGGATTGGAGGAAGCTGCCTTCCCCTGACTGCCCCCCTCCCTTCCTCCCTGCCCGGCGCTGCCCTACCGGGCAGGGCATGGGCATCCCCACCCCCATCCAGCCCCTGGGACATTTCCTCCCACTGTGTTCCTTAGCCAGAGCTCCAATCTGGCCTTGAACCCTGGGCTCCGGGGTCTTAGTCAGATGTGCTGTTCATTATCCCACAGCCCTGAAGATGCCGACAACAAGAGCCTGGAGCCCCTTATGGATAACGATTATTCCCATTGGAGTGAGGAAGCTAAAATGCCTCACCCAGTTTCCCATAGTAAGCCAGTGGCAGAACCAGCACTAAAACCCAGGGCTCTGGAGTCCCAGAGAGGACTGTGCCTGCATCCTGCGTTCAGCTCCTGCTCTCAGGACCCAGATGCTCCTGGCACTATCCCAAGACCATCTGAGCAGACTGCTGAGATGGTGGTGATTTGCAGCCACAGATGAATGAGAAAAAGGAAAAACCGAGCATTTGTCTGATGTCCAGGGAGGAAAGCTAGGCCCAGGGACGTTGGGAGGCATATAGGAATCGGATGTAACTTCCGGTCAGGCCTCTTGAGAAGCTAGCACCAGGAGGTCAAGGGTCACCTTCTCTGCCCTTGGCTCCTCCCCCTCCCTGCTCAGCCTCACCTCCTCTTCCCTGGTGGTCTGTCCCGCAGGCTGACCCTCAGCTGCATCTCCCCAGTAACAGGCCTCGGCAATACAGCTAGAACCCTGGCGTCCGCCCGGGGGGCTGGGGACTCGACGGTGCCATTGTTCCTGCTCCTGTTTAAGCCTGCTTGTGCCCAGAGTCTTCCTGCTACCTGATTTGTACCCAGTAGGACGTAAGCTCCATGAGGGCCCACCACAGTGCTTGGCGTTTAGGAGGCCCTCAGTAGATGCAGCACCCGCGGGAGAACATGGGGGCACTTTGGGAAGTCTGACCCGCTTCCCAGCTACGATCCATCCCAAGTTCTTGTTTGCCCAGTTCTAGGCCCAGCTCATTCGCCATCTGGAGTGAGGTCCTGCTGTCCAGGGATGACCTGCGTGGCTGCTTCTCCTGCGTGGGCAGTAGGGCTGGTCCACCTGTTGTGTTTGGGGGGGGGTTACCTTAGGTGTGGCTACACTGATCTTTTTCCATGTTCCTGGGGATGTCGTGGAACGAAGGCTAGGTAGTGTGGCCCACAGCACGAGATATTAGTGCAGCGTGCCGGGGAGCACGGAGATGGAGTCCAGCCCTCTTTGGGACCCACACACACCTCGTTGCTCGCAGTTTGCTCAGGGCATCGTCGGCGGCCAGTTGTTGGGCACAGTTCTCTGCAGGTGTGCGTCGTTGATTCTTGTGGGGTGGTGCCGGCCATGTCCAAGATGGGTCTCGATTGGCTCTCTTAGGAGTTGATCACATTGGTGGCACTTCAAGGTTCACCAAGGGCTTCCCTTGTTTTGCAGATGAGGAAGCAGAGGCGCTAAGAGATGCTTCCTTCTGCGCCCTGGTCTTTCACATCAGACTTCCCTGTGCCCGGTTTGTAGCTAGGTGTGTCTTTGTGAAGGGGAGCCTGCTTTAGACTCGTTGAGGAAGTCGGGCAGGCCCCTCCACGTTTTCATGCAGGGCGCCCTCCGGGTGCGTTGCGCTGGTAGACCATTGTCTCTCAATGGGATGAGTAAGTAGGAGTGGCGCACCTGGAGGCCACTTCAAGCCCTGGGTTCTGAGCTGCCTTTTCTGGCCTCATTTTCCCCGTGGCCTTTGTGTTCACTTACACTCATGGGGAGCAGCATAAGGCAGGGTGACTGAGGAGCCAGCTAGTGACCACGAGGAAGAAAGGACGGAGCCTCTTGGAGCAAGGGGAGAGAGTGGATGATCGCCAGCCCTTTCTCCTTTACTCCCCGAGCTGTGGCCTTCCTCACGGCCCATGGCCCATCACTATCATCGGCTGACTGACCCTCTCGCTGCTCCTCCATCTCCCACCTCTCTGCCTTTGCACCCGCTGTGCCTCATGCCTGGACTGACTGCTTGACTGACTGACTGGGCAGGAGTCATGGCTCTCTTTGTGCTGAGCCATCAGAATTGTCTCTGCCCTCAGGGAGCTTATCTTCTGAAGAGGAAAGACAGCCCACCGAGGTGCCCTAGAAAGCAGAGGGGAGGTTGGTGGGCACGTTACTCTTGTACCTCAGAATCCCTTTTAGGGCTCAGCCTGAGGGGCTCCCTGACCCGCACCTCCCGCTCTCCCCACCGCGCTCGCTTCCCTGTGCATAGGCAGTCATGGGATCGTCTCTCCCAGAGACAGGTGCCTTTTGTCCTTGCGCTCCCCGAACCCGGCATGGCCCTTGGCACACTGTTGGCACCTGATGGTCACATGTGGATTGGGTCCTGGTCCATCCTGTCTGACGCCCTGTTACCCCACCCATCCTGCCTCAGTCTGTCTCATGTCCCGCCCCCCATCCCACCCTTGGGGCGTGGGGCCAGGGCTCCCCTAGAGCAGAGGCATAGGTATTGGGGGACCATATCTTGCTTAACAGGTTTCCTCCCCTCTGTGTCCTCCAGGTGGAAGGACGCGTTCGTGGACTGGAACGGTACAGAACCCATCCTGTGAGCCTGGGCTTTGGCAGCCCTAGCCCTGTACCTGCTGAACGATTCTATTTCCCCACCCGTACCAAGCCACTGAGCTCCTGCCAAGGGGCGTTTACAGACCTTCCCTCACGTTTTCTTTTGTGTCCACCTTGTCCAAGGGATCCAGCATCAGTCCCTCCTCGAGCTGCCTGCCTCCTGCCATTGTCTCCAAAGGTCTGAAGAAGGAGGGGCTCCAGGCGCTGACTCGGGTGGCCTGCCCAGAACATCCCGTGTTGCTCCTTTTCCGTCCCAGTAAAGCAGGGGCTCACAATGCTTGTTGTGGGTCTGTTCTTGTTCCTGCTGTCCCAGGAGGGCCCCAGGAGGTAGGGGTGCATTGGGACTCTCCCGTGAGAGCTCCTTATCTGCCGGGCCAGGGCCTAGGGATGATAGCCATGGGATGGCCACATCTGTGGCCTGTGACGTGGAATAGAACTCGGCGTCTGGCATCAGCCCCCTGCCCCCTGGCATGCCTGTCTGGACAGAGAGGGGTCCAGGCCAGTGCCCCTTGGCCTTCGTTCACCCTTGCCTTCCTGCCTGCCCTTTCTGATATCTAAGGGAGCCCACTCAGGGTGCCAGCCTCCACCCCAGCCCTGCCCTGATCGAGTTCACGGCCTAGCTGGTGAATGAAACCCAAGCTGTGTAGCCAAGAGAGCTGCTGGCCAGGGTGGAGGAGGGGGGCCTCGAAGCAGCAGCCACAGCCAGGGGCCAAGCCTGCCTGTGGCTGGCCTCGGTTAAGAATTCTGCTCCATGAACTTGTTTAGACTCACGTATCTCCCAGTTTCTCAGCAAAAAATTCCTTTTAAAACGCTGCCTCTTGTCCCAGCTGCACTTCTGTCCATACCTCGACCTGAAGGAAGGGAACGCTGACTGTAGCAGGCCTCTCTCTGGTGGTTCTTCGGTCTTCCGATGTGCACTTAGAGCCTGATGGGGACAGCCTGGCTCCAACGTAAAGCCTTCCACGGTCTGGCTCCTATCCACCATCGCAGACCATGGACGTGCCACACTCCCCACCTTTCTCACTTGCTCCTGGGAAGCCTCCCCTGCCCTCTCCTTTATGGTATGATTGGGTCTTTATCTATGTTTCTCTAGTAGAATGTAAGCTCCTTGAGGGCAGGGCAGGGCCTGACCAGCCGGGACCCTTAGGCTGTGTCAGGAGGCCTGAAGGGGTTGGGGAAAGAGCCAGTCCAGGCCTGTGTGGGAAGGGAAGGCCAGAGAGGGGGCAGAAAGGAGCCAGCAGAGTGATGAGGGCCCCGGGGGGCAGGCGTAGGGGGCGCGGGAAAGAAAGGGGCATGGGAAAGAAGAACTTGTTGGCCACTTGGGGCCTGGGCCTTTGGTACTCAGAGCCCCAGACTGGGGCGGCTTTTCCCCAGGCAGCTGCAGTCTCACCACCAGCCACAAACATTTCCCAAGTATCTGGGGCTGGGCTGGGCTCCTGCGTGGAAACATGCACCTTTAATAAGCCTGGCCTTTGCTTGGAGCATCTGCATTGGATGTTTTTAATAAAGCTGCTCAGGAAAACAAGCTTGGGTCCCTCCAGCCCAGCAGGCAGCATCGTCAGTAAATGCAGCTGCTGGCCCACACTTGGCCTCCTCGATGAATCCCAGATGTCTATGCTGGCCTGACCCACGCTTGCCCAACAAGGTGGTGTGGGGGTGGGGGTGGGGTCCGGGCTAGGAGCCCCTCCAGCTCTCAAACTCAGAAATTTTGTGATTTGGAGGAAGTTCTTCCTGGCATCCAGTGGAAATCTGCTTGTCTCTGGAGCTCCTCTTCCCAGCCCCCAGTTCCTACTGCTCCTATCCTTGACTTCCAGGGCCAGTCCCTAAAGAGCTCTGAGAGACGGTGGCCAAAGCCATCCTGAGTTTTGACCATCACGTATTCCTCCAACCAAACCCTTGTGGAGCAGCAGGGTCCCTCTCCACACTGGCTGCCAGAGTTGGGCACGGATGTGCACCTAGAGCCTGACAGGGACAGCCTGGCCGCCATGAGGAGACCGAGTGTGGGACAGCTCTGTGCCCTCTGTAGCTACTGCTGAGTTAATCTCTGTGCTGCCAAGTCTCTGGGCTAATGGGGAGTAGCTGTTTGTCTCATCATTAGTGGGCACTTCCATCAGAGCAAAGAGCTTGGTTTGCTGCTGAGCTCTGCTCCTGGGCAGGCTGTGAGTCAGATAGAAATGGGGAGTTCTTATCCCTCCAGGCCGCTGCTTGGTGGGGGAGGGGGGGGCATCACAGGTCACACACAGTGATTTAAGAACCAGGGCCCAGGGCCTTGAATGGCAGCATCCCAGGGATGAGGGGCTGCCTTGTGCTTTCCAGGGGATTCATTGAACAATCCCTCCATGGCCCCTGGCAGCCACCCTGCAGGGAGGTGCCTGTTCACAGCAGGCTACCAGCAAAAAGACTTCCTATCGATGGCTGAACTATTTATTTGTTTATTTTGCTTGGCCCCAGGGCCAGGGCTCGGACTGAGCTCTGGGAGGAGGAAATCGTTTTCCCTGTAGCAGCCTGGGGAGGAAGATGGAGTCTTTGTGGGGAGCCTTCCTTAACCTCCTGCCCAGAGCCCTGGCAGGCCATTCGGCCCTGCCGGGAAAAATGGAATGTTCACAGTGTCGGTCAAGACATGCTTGGGAGCCCTAGGCCGAGACAGGGCTCTGGTGCAGTTCTCTCAGGGAGCTTGGCCCTCATTTTCCAGGAGGAGGAATGCAGTGGGGGGCACAAACAGATGACCCTTGCCCATTTCCTTCCCCTTTCCCTGAGTCTCAAGAGCTTCTAAAAGGCTTCTAAAGGGACATAAGAACGAATATGCAGGCCAGAAACAAAAGCAGGTTTAGAAAAATCTGCAGGAGAAATCTTGGACAGGTCATTTGGAGGTGTTTGGGGCATCCTTAAACTGGGAGGAAAGCATGGGGCAGGGGGCAGTGATGCATGTGGCCTCCTCCAAACCTCTCCAGGAGCCCTGCCAGACAGGCCCCAGGACTGAAGGGAAGTGACCCGATAGGGGAGGGGACACCCCCTTCCTCCCCTTTCTTTTATGCAAAGCTATCCCTAGTCAATTCAGGGACCCCAAAGAGGCAGCCAGAGAGGCAGTTAGGTCTGAGGGGCAGGAGACCTGATGAAGCTATAGACTGTGTGGTTAGTACCATCCATCAGCCGAACACTCAACAAGTCAGTATGTGCACTTGAGACAACCGTGAAATTGTCCCTGTCTGCCCCCAAGGGGCTTCCATTCTATTGTAGCAGCAACCAGGCCAGTATCTGCCCTCTTAACTTGAATGTAGTGCCCTGGGCCTTTCATTTACCACCTCTGAGAAGGTCTCTCCCTGCATAGGCCAGGGCAGGAGCTCTCATTGTCAAGGGCTTAGACAGTCTCTGCTCTCAGATGTTGGGGTCTGCTTCTGTCTTTGAGGCCTCCAACCACCTCCTTCTCCAAGCAAACAGCAGTACAGAGAGCACAGCCCCGGGTGCTAACTCCTGAGAGCTGCCCTGCTCTGTGGCAGAAAGGTCTCTGACCCACAGGCCTTGAGCTGGTGGGCCACCTGAGGACAGGCCAGATGGGCAGGCCCCTGATGGGTAACCTGGGAGCTGAAGAGACTCAGAGCCCCACTTAGGGCTGTTGGCAGCAACTGCTTCCTGGCCAACCCAAGGCCAGAAGCCTCGACTCCCCCCAATTGTGGTAATGTCGGGCAGGACTCTCCAGAGCCATGAAGAATCCATAAATATTACAAGAGGCAGTAAAGTGGCCCAGTACATCTGCAGGCGTGAGTGTGTGTGTGTGTGTCTATGACCCAAGCAGTATCTTAATGACCCGCCTGGCTGCCAGGTCAGTAATTACCAGACCCAAATGCCAGGCACTGAAGATAATGTCCATTACCCAATGTGACCTTGAGAATGGAAGTCACTGAGGGAGAGGGGGCAGGAAACTTTTCTCTTCTTCTCCAAGTTTTTCTTTTGCTAAGGGTCAGGCAGCTTTCTCAGGGCCTACAAGAGGGCCACAGGAGACCGCTCCTGGCAGGCTTATTCTTTGGGAAATGAGCTGTGTCTGTGGGGGTGCCCTCTTTCCACTGTCTCTGAGCCTGTTCCCCTCCCTGCTGGCATCCAGTCCACTGAGGCCCAGCTCTTGCTCCTGAGGCCCCATATGGCACCCCTTTTCTCTCATGAGTTAGAGTAGAAGGGATCATGTGAGTCAGCCAGCCCAGTGTACCCATTGTACTGAGGAAGAAACAGAAGCTCGGGGGAAAAGACTTGCCCAGGGTCACACAGCTAGTATGTATCATGTGTCAACCCAGATTTGAACTTAGGTCTTCCTGACTCGAAGGCAGGAGCTTTATCCACTGCACCCCCTAGCTGCCCCTCTCCATGGCTTTTAGAAATGGAATCACCCCCACTGTGTATGTGTGACAGAGACAGAGAGAGAAGAAAGGAAGAAAAAGGAGAAAGGGGGAAAGAGGGAGGGAGAGAGACAGCCAGATGGACACACAGAGAGACCAAGCTTGTGTCTCCTTGCCCTCCCCTCTGCCCACGAGGAGATCTGCCCCAGTGGTGTTTACATGGTAAGAAATGTCCAGGCAGAGAGGAAGCACTCTAGCAGTGCCCAGTCACTGGCCTGTACAAACCACTGTCAAGTGTACCAAGCAGTTTACCCACATGACCTCCCCTTTGAGCCTCACAAACTCCATCTCGGGAGGTATCATGAGCCCATTGTACAGATCAGGAGACAAGCCTTTGGCCCCACAGCTGGTAGAGGTCCCCACTGACCCATGTGGCCTCTCTCTGGGCATGCCCCAGATGAGTCAGGCTTGCTTCACTCCTTCCCGCAGACAGCTGTCCTCTCTCCAGCTTTCCTGAATGCTCCCCTCTTCACCCACTGGAGGTTTGCTGCCTGGTCCAGCTTCCCAGGTACCCAAAGAAGTCACCAGATCTTGGAAGGGTGGAGATGCTGCTCCCACAGGGATTTCATAGATTAAAAGACTCCAAAACTCCAGACTGGACCAGATTTTCAAAATCCTCTGAGTGCACCCTTAGGGAAACTGCCCAGGGAGGAGGTGAGGGTGGCTTCACTTGTCAAAAGTCCATAGAGCTGGAGTGAGACCCCAGGTCTCATTTTGATCATCCCCTAGCACCAGTGTCAGCTCACCAGGTGAGAGCCTGGTGATGAGTCACACCTGGACTACACCTAGTCCAAGCCCCACGAGGTGGTCTGTGCCAAGTGGGTGCCCTCTGGAGGCAATGAACCTTGTACTTGTACCTAGCTCTCCTAGTGTCAGGGTCCACCGGCAAACGCAGGGTTCACTGTCTGAATCAGCCCGTGGGCCCCATCCTCTGCCCTAAAGGGGCCTCCCCAACGCTGGGACCCCAACAGTCAGTGAACACTTATTAGGCGCCTGCTGTGTGCAAGGCACACCTCTTCTAAGAGGCTGTCAAGTATATGCAAAACACATGCAAAGCAGAGACTAGGTAACCTTGTGGGAGAAGGCACTGACGGACCAGTGGGGGAATTGGAAGGAAGGAGGCACAGGGGACAGTTAGTGGTAAGCCTTGGTCGGTGTGACAGCCAGAGGGCTGGTGGGTGAGAGGCAGGAGCGTTCTGTAAGGCTGAACAGGTCAGGCAAGGCCAAGTAAGGGTGAGCTGGAGTGCTAAGCAAAGGGGCTTATGCTGAATCCCAGTGGTAATGGAGAGTAGGGTCAACTGCATTTAAGGGAACTCTGTTGGGCAGATGCCCGGAGGACGAATTAAAGTGGGGAGATGGATTAGGCGAGGAGAGGGATTAAAAGGCCATCGTGATAGTTTAGGTGAGAGGGGAGGGATGTTTCATGGACCCACAAGCCCAGGGGAGGCTTCCTCCCCACTCCCCGCTCCGTTCCCCTCACTCATGGCCACTCTGCCAACCACAGCATGAACCTCCATCAGCTTCCTTCCCCCTGAAACACACACACACACACACACACTGTACGCCTACTCATACGCACCTACTTACACAAGATGCCTATTCACACACACTCACAAATTCATATATGCCTACTCATATACACCTACACATACAGTCATACACACAACGCTTATTCACAAACACACAGCGCTCCTCACATACCTACACGTAGTCACCTATACACACACCACACACCCACTGGCACACACAACATACCTACTCACAAATTGACATAGCACGCAAACACTCATATACAACACACAGTTGCCTTACACACATGTACACCCATATACCAATACACAAACCTATACACTCACATGCACAGACACAACACACCTAAACGCATGCACACACTCACACATATACCACCCCTCCCAGAAGGACAGAGTGAAATGGAAAAGGGAAGATTGTGCATAGGAGAGGAAGAGGGCCTTCCAAGAGGGTCACCCTAGATATCTGGGGGTGCTGTTGGGACACTGAGGCTTCTTTGCTTTCCCAGAGAGCTTTCTGCCAAGTCCCTTGTGACTCCACCTGCTCCCGATGTCCGCCTCTGTGGGTCTGAACAAGGACCCCGGCCCAGAGCGAGTGTGGAAGC